CTATATAATGGAAGTAAGAAGGAATGAATACTCCCCTATGGGAAACAACATTGAAAAAAATTGAAAATAGAAATATGAGATGATCCAGAAACCCCACTTCTGGGTATATACCTAAAAATTTTAGAAGAGTCAACAAGAATTTGTTTATCCAACTTTGCTGCAGTACTACCTAAAAGAGCCAAGAGGCACAAAAAATCTTAACATCTATCAACAGGTAAATGAAGAATATTACTCAGCCTTAGAAGAGAAGGAAATCTTTTAAAATATTTTTATTTTATGTTTATGAGTGTATTGCCTACATGTGTGTAAGTGCACCCGTGTGCAATGCCCAAGAAAGTCAGAAGAAGGTGTCAGATTCCTCTGGAACCGGAGTCAAGGACGGTTGTTAGCCACCATGTAGGTGCTGAGCATCGAACCTGGGTCCTCTGCAAGAGCAGCCAATGCTCATAATTTCTGAGCCGTTTCTCCAGCCCCAAGAAAAGGAAACCTTACCATATACAATAGCATGGCTAAACATTGAGGACATTATGCTAAGCAAAACGAGCAGTTACAAAAGGAAAATGCTTCATAATTTCATTTATATGAGGCATCTAGTATGGTTGAACTCCTAAAGACAGAAAGTGGAAGAGCAGATACCAGAGGCTGGAGAAAAGAGAAAAAGAGGTTTTTGTTTGTTGTGTGTATGTGTGTTGCTGTTGTTCAATGTTTATCAAGTTCCAATTTTGCTAGAAGACAAACTTCTAGAGATCTGTTGTAGCATGGGGTGTCATAGCTAACACTACTGTACTGTATAATCAAACATGGGTAAGATGGTACATTTTATGGGTTTTAAAAACTATTTCTATTTTATGTGTGAGTGTATTTCCTGCATGTAAGTACACCAATGTTGTGCAATTCTTGCAGAGGTCAGAAGAGGGCATCAGATCCCCTGGAACTGGAATTACAGATGGCTGTAAGCCATCATGTGGGTGCTGGGAATGGAACCCAGGTTCTCTGTAAGAGGAGTCAGTGCTCTTAACCGCTGAGCCATCTCTCCAGCCCCAAATTTTATGTTTTTAACCCAATAAAAAAGACTGAAGTCGGAAGAACTGATATATCAAAACTACTGATAGAGCAACACGGATGCATGTTCTAAGTGAAGTGGACAAGATTCAAAAGGCTACTGTCTGTGACTCTGTTTATAATATTCCAGGAAAAAGCTGTAGTGATGCCAAGTGAGGGATTTTCAAGTTCTGGGCAGAGATTGACTATAAAATGGCAAAGGATGATGACAGGGGTGACAGAACTGTTCTATACCCTGACTGTGGCTGCTGTGGGGACACAATTACGTGTATCTGTCAAAACTTGAACTAAAATGAGACACAAAAAGGATGAGTAGAGAAGGTGCGCATCGATGGAAATTGAGAAGTGAGGATTTGCTGGAGAGGGGTGGGGAGAGAATTCGAACTCATGATGCTGCTGATGACCTCTAGGCAGGGTCAAAGGCGGCTGTTGATGGGAATGGTCTCATCTCCCGATCAATGAGAAGAAAGATCTGAGGGAAAGCTACATCTAGGAAGTGAGAGAAGGAAGTCAAGCAGTCAAGGATAAACAAAACACAGCCAAGAAGCAGGAAGTAAAGGAGGAAGTGGGAAGAGGTATTTCAAAGAAGGATGGTGACTGAAATCCTGAGAGAGAAAGCTGAGGAAAGGCAGAAAGACTGAGCAAGTGAGACGTTAACACAGACTTTGGTGAAGAGCTTGTGCTAAGTGTGAGCCACTGCTCAGTGCTGGCCGGGTATGAGCAATTTCAGGGGAAGTGATTCCAATCTTGCTTGAATGTATTTAAAAGTATTAGGTGTAGCCAAATTCTAATTGGCTGAAAAGAGAACTGATTCAGACACAGGCAAGTTTTTGCTTGTAGTCCTCAATACACATTCAACTTATTACATGCTTTTGGGAACTACTATGACTATGCTACCTTTGAAATGAAACTTTGTGCAATTATTCCATGCAGTCACTAATCATTTGCCAAAGCACTACTGTTTCCGACTGACTCAGGCCAGCCTTTATGCCATGAGCAATTTCAGGGGAAGTGATTCCAATCTTGCTTGAATGTATTTAAGAGTATTAGGTGTAGCCAAATTCTAATTGGCTGAAAAGAGAACTGATTCAGACACAGGCAAGTTTTTGCTTGTAGTCCTCAATACACATTCAACTTATTACATGCTTTTGGGAACTACTATGACTATGCTACCTTTGAAATGAAACTTTGTGCAATTATTCCATGCAGTCACTAATCATTTGCCAAAGCACTACTGTTTCCGACTGACTCAGGCCAGCCTTTATGCAGTATAGTATAGTGACTTTCAGTGAGAGGGAGAAATAAATAGCACTGATATACCTACAGTTTCTTTTTGAGTTTTTGTGGCCCAAAGATTGGGCTCTCTTCTGTTGATGTGTATTTTATTTATTTGTTTGTTTGTTGTTTATTTATTTATTTTTATTTTATGGGTATGAGTGTTATGCCTGCATGTGTGTAAGTGCGCCTGTGTCGTGCTGTGCCTGTGGAGAACAGAAGAGAGCATTGGATCCCCTGTAACTGCAGTTATCGATGGTTGTTAGCCGCCATGTGGCTGTTGGGAATTGAACTGGGTCTTCTGCAAGAACAGCCAATGCTCTTAACCACTGAGAGATCTCTCCAGCCCCTGATGTGTACTTTAAAAAAAATATTTTTTTATTTTTTATTTTATGTGTATGAGTGTGCTGCCTGCATGTATGTAAGTGCACCCATGTTGTGCAGTGCCAGTGGAGATCAGAAAAGCATCAGATCCCCTGGAACTGGAGTAACTAACAGTTGTTAGCCACCATGTGGGTGCTGAGGATCGAACCTGGGTCTTCTGTAAGAGCAGCTAGTGCTCTTAACTGCTGAACCATCTCTCCAGCCCTGATGTGTACTTTACAGATTATAAAATTCACTGATTGTAAGTATATGGTCAAGGATACTGAGTACAGCTAAATTTATACCTACCATTGCAATTCAGGTTTATATCACTTTCAACTTTCTGGAAAGTTTCCTCATGTCTATTTATAACCAATCCTCATTCCCATTCTTAGCCACAGGTGACCACTGATCTGTTTTCTATCTCTGTATTTCTAGCTCGTGTATAGAAATTCCACATAAATGCAATCATTGAACGCTTTCATTTTGTTAGCTTTTTTTCACCTAAAATAGTGTTTGTGAGGTTTATCTGTGCTGTAGCGTGTGTCAATAGTTCTTTTCTGTTGCAATGGCGTGATGTTATATTGATATTCCACAGTTTGTGTGCATGTGTTTGTGTGTATGTATGTGCTTGTTTGTGGAGGGCAGAGGTTGATGTTAGGTATCTTCTTCAATCTTTCTCCATGTTATGTTTTTGAGACAGTGACTCTCATTGAATCTGGAGCTCATCAATTTGGCTAGACTGGCTTGCCAGTAAACTCCAGGTATCCTCCCTGCCTCTGCCGCCTCAGGGCTGGTATTATAGGCGCGTACTGGCTTGTTTAGCTTCTACATGGTGTTAGGAATTGAACTCAGGTTCTCATGCTTATGAAGGAAGCACATTACTAATTCTGGCATCGCCTCAATCCAAGATAACCAAGTTTCATTTATCTATTTGCCAGCTGACAAACATTAGTACTGTTTCTGGTCTGGGCTATTATAAATAATAATGCAATCATTCACATATAAGTCATCTTGTGGGCATGTTTTTACTTCACGTGCTTATGAGCTAGTGATTCACACATATATTAGGTACACTGTCCAAGCAGATCTTTTCTCTATTTTGGAAATTGGGTTGTTTTGTCTCCTTGCTATTGACTTGTTGGAGTTGGCTCTTTCTCCTGTTGGCACACTGGGAGTCAAGTCTGAATGAAAAGGATGTTCTCTGAGGATAGTTAATTTTCCTTACCTTATGCATTCACCTGCCACCTTTGCTAACATTCCAGTCTCCCTCTCTAGGATTTCTTTCTTTTCTTTACAATCTTTCAGGATCATAATCTCAAGCATTAAGCTCTACCATAGGCTATTACATTCATTTCTTTCATGGATCTTTTGTACCCACAGGTCTCTTTCCTCTGCCATGACTTGTGACTTACTTATTGAAAACAAACTGTTAGTCACTCCACCTTACTCTCTAATGCTTCCTCCACTTGCTGACAAGAACAGAAACTAGAAGACCCCTATTTCTTGGACTTTCTAATAGTGTCAAGGGGAATGAGGTACTTCTCACTGGCACCCTCATTTCCCTATCTTCTGTAATCTCTCAACAGCTGCCAACGTCCTCTGTTGGCGTTCATGTCCATCATGAAAATTATGTTCTGCCGCCCTTGTGTATGGACAGGACAGATTTGTAGTTTTCACTTTCAGTTATTGTCCTTAGGATGGAAACATCAATTGTCTCTCTACCCAGACACCACAGTTGCTTTGACTCACTTACGTGTGAGTAGAATACTACACTCTCATTTCATCTGGCACTCATGCTCTTGAACATACTCTGGGCCTTCAAGTCTTAGCATCTAAGACTCTTTTGGTCCAGTGAGAAATAGTGGACTTGTTGGTCACCCCATATTTTGTTGAAAGCTTCTTTTCCTCCGGCTTCCATGGGAGTCTTTCCCTTTGGTCTCCAGCCTCTGCCTTTTCCCTCACTCTACTGTGTAATTTCTTTCAGATAATTGCTTTTGGATTCTCATAAAAATATTCCTAGGCATGACTTCTGCTGGGTGATGGTGTTTGGAGATGGGGTTTCTAAGAGGTAGTTAGGGGCTAGGCATATAGCTCGGCATGATGCTTCAGTCTACAAATATGTTTGAATAGACAAGACAACTTATGAAGCTATATGATGAACCTGTTGGACAATCAGCTCTAGTTTTACATATGAAGATAACTAAATTACTGGTGTTGAATTTTTAAAAAATATTTTGCCATAAAACTCTGGATAGGAATGAAAAGAAAGAGAAATTCAGGAATGATGAATGCATTACCACATCTGATTTGGTGGTAAACTTCTGAGTTTGCAGACTTTCTAAAGCCATCCACTTCACGGGCAGTTTTGCACCTGTTTTGTTGTGTACACTGTAGTATTCTTTATCATACATGTCCCTGGCAAGACCAAAGTCAGCAACCTTGACAGTGAACTTTTCATCCAACCTGAAGAAAGGAGAAGAATCATTAGTGACCAGAGTAGAATACTTCACAACACTGTTGGATAGCTAAACATAAAAAAGTGGTTTTAGTATTAGAAACCCATATTTTGTAGTACCTCTAGCCTACTGACTAATACTAAATTGCAGTGCAATTCTTGAATAAAAATGCTTGAAATTTACATTACAAATTCCACCAGCTGAGGAGAGATATTATGAATGACATGGCATTTTGCTTTACTGTAGGTCTGGGGAAGAGGGAAAGCTGGCTTTGTCCTTATTGCAAAATAAGGCATTAGGTCTACCCAGTGCAATCACCCACATCACCCATCTTCAGTTCTATGGGAGAGATAGGGCATGGAACTGCTGTTTTACTTTCTAATGTTCTCAAATAGGCACATAAAATTCATGTATCCCACCATAGAGGCACAAAGATGCACACACAGTAGAGCACCTAAGGAAACAGTCGTGTTTAAAAAAAATCACTTTCTGCTAACTGGGGCTATGTAGCCTCTGTTTAATCTGGTTTTTATGGTATTATACAGATCAAAACCTAGGTAGAAAATTAATAGTGCAGCTCCCCCATTCACACATACCAGGGGCAATGAATCAGTGCTATGCAAGTGAAAGCACTGAATCAGTTATAAACTGTTGACTGTTGTTATACAGCCAGGCAGCCAGACCCAAACAAAAGTTCTTTGTATATTAATTCCCAAATACCATTTTTGGTAGCGCTCTGCAGGCAGACTTCAAATCAACTGCTGAGGAGTTATTCTACATTGGTATTCGTGTTACCAGTTTTTCTCTTTCACTATAAAATGCTGAAGATCAAATTCTCCCTCCCAGTCACTAATACGGTGTGAAACCACAACACTGGAGACTGCTGGTGGGAAGGACCAAAGAAAGCAAAAGCACAACAGCTGCTTAAGACCCCCTGTGGAGCAATCTTTTAAATGCTGTTTGATAAAACCTAAAAACCCCACCCTCATCCCAGGGGCTTATTTGTCCACTTAAAATAGTAAAGGAAATAGAGAAGTTTTGCAGAGAAGAGAAAATATCCTTACTAGCACTGAGTAGACACAAACAGTATCTCTGTGTTCACTATGAGCATGGAGATATTTTCATACTTACATACAGTTTCTTGCAGCTAAGTCTCTGTGGACAAACTTCTTGCTTGCAAGATATTTCATGCCCTTGGCTACTTGAAGACCAAATCCTATAAGATCTTTTACAGTCGGGTTCTGCAATCAGAGTTGGAGAAGCATAAACTAAGCACTTACGGTTCTAACTCTGATCTCAGAATCCTGTAATGTTTATATGACTTATCTTGTCTCAAATAATAACTCATGCCTTGTGGAGAGCCACAGCTATTTGCTAAGTCTTACTGTATACAAGCACCAGGCTCGATTTTTAAATGAATCTTAGCTAATTTGCATACAGTTCTGTAGGGGAGGTGTGGCATATTCTGTTTTCCAGATGGGAAAATGGAGAGTTTTAAAATGTAAGTTTTTTTTTTTTAATTGTTTTTCATTTGATGAAATAAACTAATCAGGATAGAATTATACAGTCTTTTTTTCTCATAGTTTACAAAAAGAGGTGGCACACCAATGGAAGCAGGACCACATAGGAAGGCACTGGGAACAGTCTGGAGGCAGTGAGGGGGAAAGAGGGATAAGAGCCTTTACTGTAGTTCCCTGGAATGGTCAGGGGTAAAGTAAGCAGTCTTAGACTTGGCTATTTTAAATACTTTCAGCAAACTCTGGGTATAGGGCTGTGCTAGGTGCCTGGCTCTGGGGTGATTAGGGTAGGGGGACAGTGACCCAGAGTGTGACTGATAAAAAAGGTGGCTGGGGTAAGAACTCTGGATTGATTGATTTGCATATGAAAGGCACACTCTGAAGGCTTGGTGTGGACTGTATCTAGGAATTAGTTAGAAGGGAGCAATCCCTCTAGGGTCAGCAAAGTTCCAGATGTCAAAGTATCAGGTATAAGGTAAATACAGGAGGCTCGAAGAGAAATAAATCACCCCAAGCCACTCTGAGAGTAAGTGGTGCATTAGGATATTCATGTAAGTCTGTTGGCCCCAAGGCTACATTACATTGAATCAATCACATCAGAAGTTCTGCTGGGCCTAATGTACCAGCTCACCATCCAAAGGTCCTGGACCCACACAGAAAACAGGACATTGCATTCTCTACACGTCATACGAAAAACTGGATGAGCAGTAGAAAGTCTTTAGTAACTGTAAGAATGAAATCTGAAATTACAGGTCTCAGCGAGTTTGGCAGCCCCAAGAAAGGCCTCTTCATCAGGAAGAGGTAGTCTCTCCTTGAGGAACCACAATGGAGCTTGTGAATACAAGATGCAGTCGAACCCAGCCAGAAGGGCTGCAGTCCCTCCTTGTGCACGCAGCTTGTGGCTTAGGCATCTCCTTAAGACATCTGTGTTAGGCACCTGTAGCCACTCTTTGGGTTATAAAAGGCCAGGTACTATTCTGTAGTGGACAGCAGGACATCTCTCTTATGCTTGAAGCCTGGGAGAATAATACTGTAGAGAAGGTAGCTGATGAATTCACCAGAGAAAAGATAAGAGTTAAAGTGAGGTCTTTGTAATGTAAATTCACAACGCTCTGCAAAAAAATTCACATACTGGGAGTGTTTTATTCTTTTGGCTGATCACAAAATATTTCATAGTTCTTTACTGTTCTAGAGCTTTGTGTGTATGTGTGTGTGTGAGAGAGAGAGAGGGAGAGAGAGAGAGAGAGAGAGAGAGAGAGAGAGAGATTTTGTTTTTATTTTTA